GACGTAGTAGTCCAGCGCATCGACGTGTAGTTGATGAAGCCGCGACGGTGGGGCCGATGGCGGGCCGACAAAGGGCGCCATGGAGTACAGCAGCATCGGGGCCTGGAGGTGCTGGCGGTCGAAGAGGTCGCTGACGGTGCCGCCCGAGACGGCGAGGAAGGCGCTGCCGGAGAGGCCGTCGAAGAAGCGGGCGACGATCATGGTCTGAATGTTGGTGGCGACGGCCGAGGGGATGATCCAGATGATGTACATGGACCAGGCGACGAGGTAGATGGGGCGACGGCCGTAGAACTCGGACAGCGGGCTCAGGAACATGGGGCCCAGGCTGATGCCCAGCACAAAGGTCGACAGGCCGAGGGTCGAGACGATGCGCGACGAGCCGAACTCGGCGTCCATCTTGATGTAGGTCGACGTGTAGATGGAGCTCGCGGCCGTGACGCAGAGGCTGGCGGCCGAGACGAGGGCGACGATGAGCCACTTGCGCGGCGTCGGCAGGGAGCGCGGGCACCAGGGGTCGCGGTCACCATTTTCAAACGAAACCTCGAAGGGGTCCTCCTTGGATCGTGCCCTGGCGGCACCGTCGGCGGCAGCATCCGTTGAGGACGCCGACGGCTCATTGTCGTCCGAGGAGGGCTGGTAGTCGTCACAGGAGTAGCCGTTCTGCGACCGGGCACGGGAGATGGTGCGGGCTACGGAGCGGGCGGAGGCGGTTGACGGTCGACGTGGTTGTGCATCTGGCGTTGCACGCGGTTCGGTCCGGATGGGGGCGAACTTTGTGTCGGCGTCGGCGTCGGCGTCGGCCTTTTCGAGATCACGGTCTGCATCGGCCATGGTGTTTGGGTGTCAAGAGCTTGTTCCACGTGCGTCAGTTCCGTGTCTGCCGTCTTTGACGTGTGAGACGATGTGAGAGAGACGAAGGAATCTGAGGGTGAAGAGGCGTTTCGGGAGCTTCAAAGGTCAAGGCAATGACATCAGCACCCTGAATAGATTTCTAGGGTCGGCAGTCCATCCTTTAGTAGGGGGGGGGGGCATGGGCTCCACGATCCATTTATTCCCGGACCTTCATCTGACGACTGATGATGAATCGGCGTTGGCGGACTTGTTACCGAAATCGCATCTTGAACAAACAAATAAATGGGGGGAACAGGCGGAAAGCGGCTTGGGCCGATTCCCAGGCCACCCGCACTGATCCTCCATTCGTCAACGGGAGGCGTTCGTTCCTGTGCTTGGCTCGGGCGCCTCTTTTCACGTTGGTCACATTATGACCAAACCTGAGCGATCCATGGGGCAGGGAAATCGGATCCCGGGCGGGGAGCTTATTCATAGCCTAGGTCGGGGTTCCGCGCGCCGTCTTTCTCTCTCTCTCTCTCTCTGGGCTCTGCTGAGGGCCCCGCGCCCTGGCGGCAGGCTGGACGGAACTCGGCATGTCGGCGAGCACAGGACTGACGCCGTTCCTGTTCGGATTTCGACATGATGTGTGCTCCACAACACGCGGCCGCTCATGGGGGTGTGCGCCTTTGCCGGGATTTCTTCCTCGAAGAAAGGTCTCGAAAAGGGATGCACAAGGACGAATCTCGGCCCATCGCCTCGATCGTCGTCGTCGTCCAGCTCGCGAGTGAGACGTCCGCATGGGGCTTCTGGGCGCTCTTGTCACGAGGGTCTAAGACAAGGGCGGCGTGGGGAGGGGGCCCACCACGGGGACTCGCAAGACGCGAGACGCGAGGCGAATTGTCATGGTTGATAAGCCGCCCATTTTTTTTTCAACTCGATTTCGGATCCTCCCTCAACTCCATGTCGAATCAAACCCCCATAAGCCAGCTGGTCTTCGTTATCGGCGGCGGCAGGCGGAGGAGGCTGTTTGCACAAGCCTATCCCTTTTGTGTGCCGAGAGTCGGCCCAAGGACTTCTCCAGCTCGACAGCAAAAGTGGCAGAAAATTGAGGAGGACGAGTTTACACCGGGGTAGACAACAAGGGGTGCATTCGAATGATGTTCCGGTATCCTTGTTGTTGCGGATCGGCTCACTGTTCACGAAGGACTGGTCCGGCTGCTGGAAACGTCCTTGTCTGAGCTGTCCGGGAAGGCGGCGAAGACTGTATGTACTGAGGCCGTATTTCGGCACCAAGGGAACACCAGTATCTAGTGCTACCTTCAACATGCAAGAAAGAGCACAAGACATTCCTTGACGCCGAAATGAAACCTTCAATACTTCATATGATCGACAGCCAGGCGGCAGAACAATCAATGTCGCCAATTGAATGAAGGATGCAACGAACAGGACATCTACACACTTGTATGCTGCTTGGTTTGAAAAGATTTGCTTGTTCTAACAGTGCCTGTCAAGATGCACATGAGTGAGAGCTATGCAGGCAGGCGGTCATCAGTGTATGTACGGAGGTGTACTTTCGGCACCCAAGGGACAGACCAGCGGCCATCATCACGAGCACATCATTTGTCATTGCAGCAGCCAAGCTACACGATGGAGTGACAAGACCGCCGGCCTCACCGGTAGACTCGGGCAGGTCAAAGGCGGCACGTCGCGTCGCAGTCAAAGGCCCTGTCCACGCTTGGCGGCATGAGCCGCCGCGAGGGCTTTTTGTAG